CATAATACGGTCAGCCTTGGAGGCCCAATTTTGTGCAGGTGGGCCTAGTGCGCGGAAGCGAAATCGGAACCATTCCTCGTTAAAAATGGCTGTCTTTTTAGAGATCAAATTGAGGAATGGTCAGCGGCTGAAGCAAATCTTTTCGAAGATGCGCTTGAAAAGTATGGGAAAGATTTCTCAGATGTACGGGTCGACTTCGTAAGTTTCTTCTTTTACAGCTTGTAATAAAGCTCTCATTCATTGTACGGCTCGTTGTTCGTGTTAATTCCACTTCTCCTTCCTACTTATCAAGAATTTATTCTTCCTCAGCTGCCATGGAAATCACCACGTGATATCGTTGAGTACTATTACATGTGGAAAACCACAAATCGATATGTTGAACAAAAAAAGAAGAAAAACGCAGAGCACGAAAGTAAACTCAAGCAGGTATTGGTTCATCTTTCCCTTCTCTCACTCGAGAGTATTGATTCCTTAGTTTCCGTGGAGATCAATGATTTTTCAGATCTTTCAGGTCTATATTCCTAATCACGCTAAAACGACTGGTCCTCCAGTGCGAGGAACGGATCCTTGTGAAGGCTGCAAGGTGAGTGCATAAGTTTAGTCCCAGTGTCGAACAACTACCTTCCATTCGTAATTCTTTGATCAACTATTTTTATTAGTCATTTAATGAGGAACAGTGTTGTGGTGGTATTTCAGGCTGTTGAAAGCAATATATGGCATGCTTGGGGCCCTGCAAATTTACAGCTGCGCCTCTGTCATGAATGTTGGACATACTGGAAGAAGTACGGTGGATTGAAAGAACGTCATGAACATGGTGAGATCAAGGGTATCTTTGGTAGTTAGATATTATCAATACTGAGTTTAAGTCTCTATTCGTTGGTTTTTCTAACATATCATGTACACCAGCGTACCACGAATAATACGCCAGTCATGAAAAAATGTTTCGTGGTGAATTTTTCGTACGGACAACACCCAAATGACCCTCACAAATTCGATGTTTCACATCATAATACTACTTCCCCCTCTCACGCTCAATTCATCAAATTGAATAAGTATTTGATTTTCCTTTCTTGTTCGATTTCGCCACTGATTTCACATACAACAATCTTAATACAGTCAGCTTTTAAATGAGAAAAAAAAGTACAGAAATAAAGAAGAGAAAGAGTAGCTGAAGAATCCTAATGTAGCCCGCTTTTACCCAGCGCTTATATATCTCTGAACGTTTCATCTAGTTTTCTCGAGGCCGCTGCCGTAAGCCGCGCGCATCCGGCCTACTGAAACATACGGACTGCGTGATCGTATTACGTTCCTGGGCTGGCTCGCCTGAATTTGAAGACCCACCCTTCTTCGCGAAGTCGCAGCAAGCTTAGAACTAGCTTAGGCAAAAAAATAAGGAATTAGGCATAATCCAATGCTAACTAGGCATAAGCCTCAACTCCAGTCTAATCCAAACTATAACACTTAAAAGCCCGCTTCTTACTGGTATTCGAGCACATTGTGGTCGACCTGACCCCAGAGGAGAAACGAGTACCGTGTGGCAATAGGCGCACATACACACTATAGAGGAAACTAACTTCTACTCCCCGACTTATCACCTGCTACACTCTTTCGCTAGACTGCACCATAGCACCTCCCCCTTTTTAATTATCCCGCTGCGCTCCTGAATGATGGTGCACAAGCAATGTTATAGCAGCAATTTGCGAAGTCACGTAGACCTTAGAATTTCCGAAGAATATAGGAACCTTCTTTGCTTCCATTGTTGTTAGAAACCGCGAGGATCTCAAAGTTAAGGGCACCATCAACCGTTCATAGAACATTTCGAGCAGGGGATCGAATCTGCAGTTGCAGTTCTCGAGAGGGTTTCTTGTTCGAGGTTGAATAAAGTCGACCATCTTTTCAAAAGTGCGGACGAAAGACCGTTCTTGTGGAAGGAGAAAAAGTCGTATTGTGGGAGGGGGTAGATTTTACCGATGTTCTGGTAGGTTTTTGATGGCGTTGTTGGACTTATGATTAGTAGAAATATGAGGGGAATTAGGACACTTGCCTTTTCTTATTCTTTTCGTATTCCTCTCTCTCTCCTCCTCCGGCTCGTCAGCAGTTTTGGCGAAATTTTGAGGGCGGGCTTGAAGTGTGTAAGTACGCGATGTTCGACCCTGGGGAGAAATTGTTGACTTGGAAACGTCCTTGACGAGATGAATGCCCTACATGTATAATGCACACTGCCCCAACATCGAAACGTTTTCCGCTGTTGAAATATTAATGGCTCAGTGAGTGTTCAGTGTAAGGCATAATTACGTTATTTCATCTTATACTATTCCACTTATCTTTTTTTCGACGTTTTTCGTTGTTAATGAGAATTTCCGTTTTTTAAGATGGGTTCGATATGAATTGCTCAGCTAGTGAGGACAGCACAGCAGATGTCAGCGAAGCTGCGAAACCAGTACTGAGTAACGTGAACCCACTCGCGATCAATAAAAGTTCTTCTGCGGCGCAGGTCAGAGATTCTTTAAATTGTCGATTTTGTTGATTTATAAGTTATTTGTGCCCAAAAAGCTGCGGAATTTAATTTAAATTCAATCTTGAAGTATTGGTTTTTTGCCTTATGTAACCTCTCTTTATCTCTCCTGAATTACACAACATGGGAGTACCATCAGAGGAGGCGAGATGAGTTTCACCAGTGAATATCATTATTCTCATAGAATGTGACTTGCGAATTTTGCGGCCGAATACTACACCTTTCCTGTACATATTCGGTCATAAAAATCATATTCAGTATTACTTGAATGGTGAATGTTTTGCTCACTCATTAGTAGCTGAATCAGTAATGCAGTACCTCTACT